GTATGCTTGTATAAAAGCGATTCATTGTCAACCGGACGCGTTATATTGTCTATACGAATAAGGCAAAACTTTACTACACATGATATTATATTTATTATTGTATTAAACTAGCTTATTTTTCTTACTATACGGTGTGTCCGATCTTATATAGCCATGTAATATATAAAAGTAACACTAAATATATTAGGCCTCGGTCATATGACCTTAAATTGAAATGTGGTTTGTTTTGATAGCTAAATAATAGTATCAAAAAAAAAAAAAAAAAAACATTTTGGAAAAAACTTATAATTTTTAGTCTTATATTCCTTTCACTGCTTGAATACACACTTGGCATGGGGTTTTTGAATATGCTTGTATTATWRCTATCACTATACACTAATTCATCAACTTTTATTGGTGAAAATCGATGGTCAAAGCACTCAAAGCTATATATAGTTTGAAAATAAATCAATATTTTTCTGAGTTCCATCAATTTTAATACAAAATCTGTATCGAGTATTTTATTTATGGATAATATTTATCTAATTAAAATATTGAAGAAAATKTAATATTCAACATACCAAAACGTATATTATTGTACGCTTATTTGAACTGTTCCTCTAAAATTGATTAATTTTCAAACTAGAAATATTTATTGTAACTGCTGAGCAGGTAAATTTTAAGTCCAAACGTTGAACGCAGTCGAACCACAGCAGATATTTTCCAAAAATATTCACTGACCTGCTGACATTTTTGATGCTAGTTAGAATTAAGTATATAAACTATTGCATCAGGACAGACGAATCACGTACAAAAAAAATTTTGATTTGACCTCACAAGTCACTAATATTATATAAACGCCAGTATATTTTAGACTTTTTATAGATATATAGATATATATAGTATAATTATAATAATAAATTAGTACATATATAGGAACCAGTTTGTATTGGATATTATTTATTTATATATCTTTAGAACCATAGCATATACACACAGGTAGACATAATATATTGCATTAATATATAAATATTATTTATTGGCTAATGTATGTGTTTAGGTAATACGTTAAACGCATAATTGATGGTTTATTTTATTCCGACGCGGCGACGCCTATCGATCGCAATCCGTTATAAGTCCGTTTAGTCGTTTAGATGAGTTTAAGATACATATTATATTACGTATATACATAGTACATTGCTGTAAAGTAGCAGTGGTATATATACAATATACATCGTACATATATGCTATATATATATATATATATATTGTGATATTTAGTTTGTACAATGCACGCCCATAATATGAATTAAATAAGTACAACATATGTAATATATGTTTTGTATTTATGATTTTAATTTATAATATATCA